AAACAATTGTTTGCCTCAGACTGATGTTCTTGATGAATCACTGAGAATGTTCCATTTGATAATATTGTCTTGCTTGGTGATGACGCACGGAGCACACAAGCGGTTCTAAACCGCTTGGCGCTGGAATGACCTTTACCCCTATGAAATGCAAAGCCCTGGTCCTTGACTGACATCCACCTGCCCCAGTGCTCACTCTTCAAGGTACGAAGCTTGAACAAGTGGACAACTTTGTTTACCAGGGAAGGTGTCTCTACTGATGGTAGGATTGGAAAAGAGGTTTCCCTCCTCATTGCCAAAGCCCGTTCGGCGTTCGCCAACTTGAGGTATCTGTGGCGACGCCGTGACGTTTCACTGTTGGTAAACGGCATGGTCTACAATGCCTGTGTTCGCGCGGTGCTGCTGTATGGGAATGAGTCTTGGCTGATTCGTGTGAATGACTTGCGTCGGATTTCGTCCTTTAAAAATGGATGTTTGCGGAGAATAACTCGAGTCTGATGGATGAACCACGTGCGCAACGATAATGTTAGACGCCGCGTCTTGGGTATCACGGGACTTCCACTTGACAGGCTGGTATCGCTGCGCCAACTGAGATGTCTGGGCCACGTTTCACGCATGCCATGCGAACGGCTGTCCGGACGCGCTCTCTTCGCTCGTACAGAACCAGACTGGAAGAAAGCGCGCGGTGGTCAGCGTACCACGTTGCGACAAACGATTAAACCGCTGACTACCAGTTTATCTGTCGTAGGTCTCGTGCGTCTTCCGGGCTGGGGGAGGAACGAAGATGAAGAACACTGCTGGCTGGAAACTCTTTCGGAGCTGGCGCAGTACCGGGCGCAATGGAAAATGTGTACAAATGTTTGTCTTGATTTTCTTGATCTACATCGCAAACAATAAACAAATAAAAACGAAAAAAACGGCGGATGAAATAAAACAAGACAGAAAAACAAGATTCGAAAACAAAGACTTTTGTAATTTTCATTCTTTTCTTTGTGGTCTCTGTATTTATTACTTCCGTTTCATGGTTTTCGCTGACTCTGTGTTTAGCGTATAGACTACTGATATATATATATATATATATATATATATATATATATATAGAGAGAGAGAGAGAGAGAGAGAGAGCCGAGACGCTCCATCCGAGGCCAGCTCAGAAGTGAGGGACTTCATTCCTCTCGACTAAGTCATCTCTTGGCCACCCCTCCTCTTCTTCCTTCCACAGCCCCGGCGGGCAAACCACACACGTCGCGGAAGTCGGTGGGCTGGCGTGCGTAACACGTGGCCGAGCCATCAGGGCCTGGTGCGTGAAATGACGGTCCTGAGCGGTTCACTTCCTTTTCTTGTGTCGTAAACAAGGCGTCGAACACGCTCGTTGCTCACTCGGTGTTCCCACCAGGTGTAAGCCAAACTGAGAAGGCACCGGTGGTCGAACTTATCTAGCCTCTTCATGTCCGCCGACCTTAGGGGCCAGGTTTCGCAACCGTACAGTAAAGTCGAACGTACTGCTGCATTGTACACTCTACCCTTCAGCACGAGAGTGATGTCGCTCCGCCACCATAGATGGCAAAGACTAGCAAAAGCACTTCGAGCTTTTGATATACGTTTCGTCATCTCATCTTCATTCACACGGGCGCTGATACAACTTCCCAGGTAGTTGAACTTCTGAACGACTTCTAGCTGATCCCCACCAACGGTCAGCGTAGGAGGCGGTCCAGACCAATCTTGGAGGAACGCTTTGCACTTCGAGGGTGCGAAGTAAAGCCCGAAGTGACGGACAGCTAGTGCTAATCTGTCCAGTGCCACTTGGCACGTTTGTGAGCTGTCACAGATCAGGGCAATATCATCAGCATACTCTAAATCAAGAAGTCGTTCTTCTGGGAGTAGCTCCGCACCTGAGTCGTGTCCTGTGAACGCGATTTCCATGACTTCGTCAACAGCGAAGTTGAAGAGGAAAGGTGACAGCGGGCATCCTTGTCTCACGCCGCTGGAGATATTAAAGGGCGACGACAACTTGCCGTAAGCCCTTACTCTGCCCGAGCTGCGAGCATATAATGCTCGGATAATATTCACATATTTCTCAGGTACACCCTTCCTGAGTAGACAGTCCAAAAGTGCATGTCCATCCACCGAATCGAATGCACCTTTGATGTCGAGGAACACGACAACGGTGGGCCGCCAATATGTTTGACGGGGCTCCAAAAACTGACGCAAAGTGAAGATGTGGTCAATGCAGCCACGACCTCGACGAAATCCTGCTTGCTCTTCGCGAATCTGGCTTTCACGAGTGCCAGTCAGTCTGTGAAGGATGACAGAGGCAAGAAATTTGGAGGCGATGTAGATCAGACTGATTCCTCTATGGTTGCCGCATTCCGATCGTGAGCCTACCTTGAAAATTGGGACTACGACGGAACGGCTCCAATCGGTTGTGACAGTTTCCTGCTCCCACAGTTTCACTAGTAACTCGTGTAAATCATCCACAAGAGCAGGTCCCCCGAATTTGAAGAGGGCTGGAGGAAGGTCATCAGGTCGCGCGGCTTTATTTAACTTCAACAGTTCGATCTCACGTTCGACTTCTGAGCGAGAGGGTGGATCCAAAGGAACAGCCCACGGAGCAGGGCGATCACTCGCCGGCGAGAAATCTAACCACTCCGACCGATTAAATTGCCTTTCAAAGTGCTCAACCCAACGCTCCAAGCATTTTGATAAGTTGTGGATAGGCTATCCATTTTCGTCACGTAGAGTTTCACTAACGCCAGGTCTCCTGCTGCCCGTTTTCCGTATCAGCCGGAATAACTTACGATGTTTACCAAGGGCAGCGGCCATTTCCATCTCTGATGCACGATGAGACCACCAGGATTCGCGATCTCTCTTCAGGCTAGCACGGAGTTTCGCCCGGAGCACTTTGCGAGTTTCATTGTGTTCGTTTCCAGCCGGAATATGCCGGCGAGCATCTATAAGTTCCAGAGACTGCGAAGAGACTCAGTGTCCATGTTGGCGATTAGACATATCACGTGAGGATTTTCCTGCTGCTAATAACGTCTGGTGAATATGAGACTAGTGAGCTTCAATTGCATCCAGTGAGCGCTTATCCAACTCGAATGACAGCGTAAGTTGATAGGCATTCAGAACAGCTGGCTTCGCCAGTTGGCTGGTGTCAATGCGCTCACGGCGTCGTCGTGGGCGTCCGCCAAAGCGCATCCGCAGGTCAGCACATACAAGTGCATGATCGGTGTCAACACCTGTGCTCCAATTCGAGCGACAGTTCTGGACGCAGCCTCTCCATCGGTAAATTATCGCAATGTGATCGATCTGCGTGCAAGGCTGGTTCGAGGCTGGTGGGCGCCAAGTCACCCTCCGGCGGGTGCTGTGTCTGAAATTAGTGCTCGGGAGAAATAAGCGGGCATCTTCACACAACTTAAGTAACTGCTCACTGTCATTATTTCGGGAGGCTACACCGTGTTGGACGCCCAGATGCAGTTCATCAGTGGCGAAGGAGTTCGTTCAGTTGGTGATAGAAGTCGTCTTTGACCGAGTCATCGCTACAGTGTGTCGGTGCATGGGCAGCGATAACGAATAGACACGTGTTAGTCCCACGTGACCTTGAAGCTTTGAACGAGCCAGCCAATCGGACCGCACACATCCGGCTACTGATTGGAATCCAATCAACCAGAGCAGCTTCAGCCCGGGGACTCAGGGCAATACCAACGCTAGCTTGGCCGGTGCTCGAAGCTGCACCGTCACCGGATAGGCGCAATGAGAAAGTGCTGCTAGTGTCACCTGAAGGGGATCGCGAAGTGAGTACAGAGCTCGAGTCTTACAGGTGAGTCTCCGATAAGCAGCAGATATCGATTGAGAGGGTCTCTAATGTTCGGGCAAGTGCTGCCTGTTGACCGATCTGAAGCAATGTGCGAACATTGAGGCATGCCAGTCTGAAGGAGGATCGTGGGCTCCAAATGGAAGCCGATGAACTGGAATGGGCCGCTTGCTTGGACATTGGCCTGTTGACAGTGCAGGAATGACGCTCTGCGTTCACCTGTGAGTTGAAACTGAAAGACAAGCGACTATTGAAGCAAGTTGGGGGAGGGCCGAGAATTGGGGAGTTGAAAACAGGGGGGATAAAGGTGAGGCTGGAACGGGTCGATAAGGGTGAGAAAGCGCAAGAAGGGGAGTAAGAAGATGGGAAGGCTTGAGCAGTAGCATCCAAACCCCTATCCACCCTGCCCGATGCAGCAGATAGGGCACCGTTGACTATCCTCTGCGGTGGCCAGAGCATCAGAAATTTGTTTGACGTGCGATTCATTGTATTGCGTGGGCAGGATACTGTCAGGTTGCCCTGGCCTAGACAGGAGAACGATTAGGGTTCTCAACCAAAACCTTTGGTTTAAAAACCTGTCCGCAAGGCAGCGGGTTTGGCATTGGGCTATAAGGAGTCCGTTTTAAGGAATAAGGAGCCACCCTCATTCCAACCCCCAACCTGGAGGACCAGGAGGCTGAGTTTGTCTGGCCTCTAACCATTGACCAATCTGGTATGAGTGGCTCTGAAGGTGCAAATGCACCACCCAGTATAGGTCAATGGATCACTGAGGCACACAAACCATCGCACCACGGTAAGGTCCAGCCTCATTGCGGTGGCATGCCTACCCAGGCTTGTTTCGTGCAACTCGCGAATATAAAACTTTTTATTTCAAAGTTTTTTTTCTATCACCTTATTTATCTTCTTTGTGGAACACGGGGTGAGCCATTAAATGACCGTCTATGCGGCGTATTACCTGCCAACTTGTGGCGTTCTGTTCTATCTTTATTTGACTATTGCTTTTTGGTCGGCAAAATTTGCTCTGTAACTAGCTGGGATAGATCTACGCTAAAATGGTATCCACCAGACGCACACCGCTTCACTGAAGAGCGCTGACGTTTTGCCGGATATCCTCTACACGGCTTCTTCCCTCGCCCTGTTGGCAGTCTCTAGGGCATTCATCTAGTTTTTGTAGCATGTTGACTTGGATATGCTTATACTGGGTTTTGTCTGTGTTTGCAATTGTCCTCAGCTTTTTCCTCTAACCGTCTCAAGCTGTGGTCGGAACTGCAGTATACTCGTAATTTGAAGCAACGACGAGATGTCGCCCTGGATTGTGTTCTGGTTGCTGTCCGCAAATTCTTCAGTTTCCTCTGCGACAAGGTTTGCTTGCATGAACTTCCATGAGGAATTGCTCAGTCCTTTATCTTACTTAATCCTTGCTTTTTTACGCATCTACTTGTCATGGTTCGACCAGTCTGATTAACATCCTTTCTCTTCAGGTTCGTCCATTACCGCCTACCGGACTGTGGTCTGGTCGTTATCGCATTTTTCGAGCACTTGGTATCGTTTCCGCACTTACTGGCTCTGGTTTGTTGAGTTATCGGCTCTTTGTCTCAACTCCGAACTATCATGGACCAGAGACAGATATGCGCGGCAAAACTGTCATAGTCACAGAAGCGACCAGTAAGTCACATTGAATTACGTTTTATTCTCGGTCTCACACCACACCCATTCATTTTATCGGAATCTACCACTGCGCGTGCCGTACTGCTCTTTCGGCCTTCATCCAGTTTACCGCACTCACGTGACATCAAGGTCACACATTGATCATAGGTCCATGTAGACCACTCGAATCGGTTATTATGGACTGACTGATCTTGCGACTGTGACAACATCCGCTGCGTGCTGGCTCCTTCAACTGAATACACGTGATTAAATAGCAACAAAGCATATATTTCTGAAGTTCGCCATACCTACATTCTATCAGACACTCATTATTCATCCATAAAAGCAGTTGCATACTCGTCAGTAGTGCGCCCGTTGGTTAAGCACATCCTACTCGAGATGGGCGTTAGGCTTGGTGACGAAGTAACTACCTAAGATTTGGCGCGACATTTATCTTGCATTGTTATGCTCGTTCTCATAATATATAGGGTCTATCTGGTCCACAGAACATTACAATCATTATAACACTATAAGCTGGCTTGGGTAGTTACTCATTTTTGGTGAGCACTGATGGGGGAGAATCTAAATCACTCATCTCTGGGATTTGTCCAACTTTATCACACTACATGAAAGATAGCTTATCTTTGTGCATTCGTGTACCGCTACAATCTTTTGCATTCTCCAGTTTTATGTTTCATCTGAATCGTACGACGAAATCCATTTCACCTTAATGCTTCTCAATTGGGCCGAATTACTGTCAGTTTCAGTTATCGCCCCCTCATTTGAAATTTCGATTCCGTCAAACCGTACTATGCATCTGTTCAGACCTAATCGGTCAATTTGTCGTAACGTTGCCACGTTGCACTAGTCAAAATATGCCAATGTATCAGTAAGCCATGCTACTCCTTGTTTCTACAGAATCAAATGTGAAAACGTGCGATGTCCTTGTTGAAGTCACCGAACTACTTAGTTTACTATTACCCTAACTTAATGTCATGAATATTTTGCGCACCAGGTCACGGTTTATCCATAAATAAGGAATTTCACGTCACAAGCTGCGGTGACGCTGCACCAATTTGCATTCTCGTTCCGAAATGCGAGCACCACTCTAAACCGTATGTTACCATCCTATCCAACCTACAAGTATCTGAGAAACGCTAACTTCCTTCGCTGCGAACCGTGGGGGTTTTTATACCAATTTAGATGCGTCCAGTATTAACTACTGGATGACCATCTGGCGAATCTATTGGAGTCGCGGTTGTTTGTAATCGGATTTACGGAGTTTACCCTACTAGCTGAAAACACCACGCTCCAGTTATTCGGGCGTGATTGAAATGCAGCAGGAAACCATCTGAGGGACCTACATGGGCTGGGGCTTGCTGTCTTCCTTCCTAGAGTCAGTGGAAGCTTTCTATGACGTGCACTGCCGAGAATCCAGTAGCTGTATTTTTCATTCTTTTCACATCAGGTTTGCCTTTTCGGTTGTTTGCTTTTTTGTGCCCGTCTTCTCCAATTCTGGCAATCTATCCTTGGTCACAAGCCGACTGAACTTGACCAACTGAGCGAATACATAAACATTACCAGAGCGCTGTGCGCGCATACTTTGGGCAGAGTAAAGGTTTATGACCAAATCTCGCCGTCCTTCATATGTCCAACGGTGTGAGACAAGGCTGCCCACTGTCACCTTTCCTCTTCGCTATTGATGAAATCATAGAAATAGCGCTCCCTAGACATGACTTACAAAGTGTGGAGCTGCTTCCTGGTGAGCGACTTCTTGACTTGGTGTATGCAGATGAAATCGACCTTATCTGTGACAGTGCCCAAACGCGCCAAGCAGCACTGGATAGATTAGCGCTGGTTATTCTTTGCTCCTTCGCAGTGCAAAGTTTTACTTCAAGATTGTGAGGGACCATCTCCTTCGTTAACCCTCGTTAGTGATCAGATAGAAGTCGGAGCCGGAAACTGTGCCGACAGACTGCAGCCGATCCGTCATTATCTCAATTTTTAAGGGAGGCTCCCGTTCGGAATACGGCCATCATAGAGGGATCAGTTTGATCTTAATTTCCTATACATTGCTTGCGTCTGTCATTCTCCACTGACTGACTGGTACTCGTGAAAGCCATAATCGTGAAGAGCAAGCCGGGTTTTGTCGAGGTCGGGGCTGCATCGACTACATCTTCACCTGGCGTCAATTGTTGGAGCACCGCCTTGTTTATTGGCGACCCACCGTTGTCGTGTTTCTTGACATAAATGGTGCCTTCGACTCAGTCGATCGATGTGCCCTTTGGGACTGTCTGTCTGTTCCTGATAAATATGTAAACATTATCAATGCGCAGTGCGCGCAGAGTGAGGTTTTATGGCAAACTGTCTTCACCCTTCAGTATCATCAGCGGTTGTCCGCTGTCACCTTTCCTCTTCAACTTCGCATTTGATGAAGTCATGGAAGCAGCATTCGCTGGACACGACCTAGAAGGTGTAGAGCTACTTCCTGGTGAGCGACTTCTTGACTTGGAGTATGCGGACGATATACCCCTACTCTGTGACAGCTCTCAAACATGCCAAACAGCACTGGACCGATTAGCACTGGCTGTCAATCGTTTTGGGCTGTTTTGCTCCATCGAAATGCAAAGTACTTCTCCAAGACTGACAGGGACCCACTCCTGTGCTAACGCTTTGTGATGATAAGCTGGAAGTCGTGCAGGAATTCAAGTACCTGGACAGCTATATTAGCGCCCTTGGGATCGAAGATGACGTCACGAACCGTATAGCAAAAGCTCGAGGTGCTTTTGCCAATCTCCGCCACCTGTGGCGCAGACGCGACATTACTCTCGCCTTTAAGGGCAGAGTTTATATCGCAGTCGTCCGTTCAGCTCTCCCATCTGGTTGTGAAACCTAACGCATCAGGTCGACAGACATAAAGAGGATAGTCACGTTCGACCATCGTTGCCTTCGCAGCTTAGCTGATGTCTGGTGGGTACACCGCTTGAGCAATGAGCATGTTCGGCGTCGCGTATTTGGTGCAGGAAGAGCGAGTGAACCGCGTAGCACCATTATATCACGATGGCTAGGTCACGTGTTGCGCGTGCCAGCCCAGAGATTCCCGCGACACGCGTGGTTTATACGCCCGCGGTCTGGATGGAAGAGAAGGAGGGGAGGCCAAGCAATGACTTGGTCAAGAGGAATGAAGTCACTCCGAAGTTGGCCTTGGTTGGTGCATCCCGACCGCCGGACTGGGGTCTTAAGGACGATGAACACGTTTGGTTGGACACTTACTGATATGGCTAGGAGCCTGCCCCAATGGCGTTTGTGTTGTGAGTCCTTTTGTCCACCCCTCTCTCTTTTGGATTCTTCCTCCAATGTGATCTCCTAGCCAATTAGTTATATGATATTTAACGTCATATTACTTGATTTTGGAATATTTTTAGCGTTGGCATCTTATCTATTTTGTATTGCGGCACATTTGCTGAGGCGTGTTTCTCACCCTCTATTGATGTATTTCTGATGTTGATGAGATCAGACTATATCATTGCTCAAATCGCCACTTTTATGGTTGTCAACACTTGTCTCCTGCCGTTTTTGCCATCGTTTTTCATTGAACTTCTGTGCGTATCACCACGTCTTGGCGACGGGAAATTCACTGCGTTTTTCTGTTGCGGATCGTTTTGTTGCTTTCTTGCTTAACTGCGTCGGAATCGGAACCCTTAAGGTTCAACTGAGTTGGCAGTAAGCGACTATTACACCGACCGAACTAACATCTGTCCCATGAGTACATGTGATATCAGTTCCTTCTACGAGATAGATTATTCTCCATTATCTTCTGGATTATAGGTTCACTGTTTGGTTCTTCAAGACAACTATTTTCCAGGCACTAGTTTGCGTAAAAGAACATCGTGACCATCCACATTACATGTTCACCAAAAACAAATTAGTGTGTCACCTTAAACAGACAAACATCACTCCGCGGTGGAGCCTATGTTATGGCTATTGTTGGTTTAACGACCAACACACCCCCTTGAATCGTGACCAGTTCATGTGGCGGCTATGATGCACCTTTTTGATGCACTTATCGTGCACTTAGGTGGTGAAACACTTTACACTGTAGTCTGTGTAACTCCATAAATCGATCAACAACAGTTAGCGCTTCTGGAATTCAAGTGCTCTAGGCTAGGATAGCAACAATACTACTGCTGGTACTCACTCTGTACACCTAAGGTAGCTCACATCAGCTTAGTCACACAAGGCGATTTCTATTCCACCTTCGGTCACGTGACTCCGTGCCAGTTCGCTATCCAATTTAGGGCTCCGTACAGAAGTCCAACCCACCTTCGATTAGCACTGAATGAATTCAGGCATTTTGTAAGATACAGCAGCAGCTATCGCTTGAAAGACTACTGTTTATTTCGAAATTCGGCTGTAACACCAGGCATGTTCTACTGCGAATGAGACATGTGCAATTCACAGATCTGCAAGGTCTGGTTTATTAGCTATCCGACCATTTTGTTCGACTTTGATCTCCATTCCGTTCGCGCCGCTACCAGAAGCGCCGGCATGGGACGCGGTTTCTCACCACTAATCATTTCTTATTTCACCCATCCGCACAATCTGTGTATGCAGGAGAGATAATTGACCATCCAGTAACGTTGCTTCCTCTTCTTGGATTATATGTTCCGTAGGGGGTCGGTGACATTGTGATGGCCCGTCACACTTTTATTTGCTGTTTTCGAGTTCCAAACGGCTCTACCACACACCTCGCGCTTTTGGTCGATTGCACCGGTCCGCAGTTTACGATTGTCGACCCGAAATCTTTTGTACCGCATCGAAGTACAGGGAGATCGATGGAATCGTACACACAGGTTATCTTAACACACTTAGTTATTATCGGTCACGGAACCACATGTCTATATTCTGACTAGTGTCACAGCCGGGAGACCATTCACCGCAACAGCATCTTGTGGTTTTTTGCATCGCTCAACATTCACTTCTAATTCCCTACGAAACATAATGCGGAAATGGTTATT